CATAAGCTTAAGTGGGTAATAAATAAACAGCTTAAGTTTTTACTTTTATTTTTTGTAAAACATTAAAAATACCTTCTCTTTCAAAATGTTGCTAAATTTTCAGATTTTATTTTTAATGATGAAAGTGTAAGCTAGTTCATTTAAATTAGTTTCTTTTGCCTGAGTGTTTACATTGGGTAGGGAGATAACATATTTGGTAGCACTAGTCATAATAATTTCTAAGTCCAGTTTTAATTTTTACTTTTTAAAATTAAATTTATTGGGATAACATTGGTTTATAACATTATATATGTTTGAGGTGTACAACTTTATACTACATGATCTACCTATTTCATAGTGTGTTCACCATCAAAATTCTAGTTTCCTTCTGTCACCATATATTTGACTCCCTTTACCCTCTTCTTCTTCCCCCACCTCTCTTCCCCTCTGGTAATCACTGTACTGTGTCTATGAGTTTGTTTGTTCATTTGTTGTTTTTTGTTTTATAGGCCACGTATGAGCGAAATCATATGGTTCTTTTCCTTTTCCATCTGACTTATTTTACTTAGCATGGTACTCTCAAGATCCATTCATGGTGTCACAAATGGCAATATTCCATCTTTTTATGGCTGAGTAGTAGTCCGTTTTATATATGTACCACATCTTCCTTTCCTAGTCATTGGTTGAGGGACAGTTAGGTTACCTGTTTCATGTCTTGGCTATTGTAAATAATGCAACAATGGACATAGGGGTACATATACCCTTATGAATAAGTGTTTTCAAATTTTTCAGGTAGATACCCAGAAGAGCCATAGAGTACCTCTATTCTTAATTTTTTGAGGAGTATCCATACTGTTTTCCATAGAGGCTATACCAATTTACATTTTTTCCAGAGGTGTACAAGAGTTCCCTTTTCTCCACATCCTCTCCGTCACTTGACATCTCCTGTCTTATTGATAACCATTCTAACAGGTGTCACATATTTCATTGTGGTTTTGATTTGCATTTCCCTTTAGCTAGTGAAGGTGAGCATCTTTTCATATATCTCTTGGCCATCTGTGTGTCTTCTTGGGAACCGTATCTGTTCAGGTCCTCTGCCCCTGTTTTAATTGGATTGTTTTTTTATTGTTGAGTTCTTTATCTATTTTGGAAAACAGCCCCTTATTGGAGGTATGCTTTGCAAATATCTTCTTTCCCTTCAGTTGTTTGCCTTTTGGTTTGTCGATGGTTTCTTTTGCTATGTAGAAGCTTTTTAGTTTGAAGTACATTTATTTATTTTTGCTTTTACTTCCCTTGCATTTGGGGTCAAGTTCACAAAACCAACTCCTCTGACATCAAGGTCTGTAAATTTAGTACCTATGTTTTCTTTTCTCTATTTTATTGTTTCAGGTTTTATATTCATGTCTTTAATCTATTTAGAGTTAGCTTTTGTGTATGGTATCAGATAGCAATCTAGTTTAATTCTTTTGCATGTGGCTTTCCAAGTTTCCCAACACTATTTATTGAAGAGACTTTTCTTGCTCCATTGTATGTTTTTGGCTATTTTGTTGAAAACGGTTGCCCATCTACGTTTGGGTTTATTTCTGGCTTCTCAATTGTGTTCCATTGGTCTGTACAGTGTTTGTTTTTTCTCCCAGTACTGTACTGTTTTGATTACTGTCACTTTGAAGTATAGTTTGAAGTCAGGGAATGTGATACCTTCAGCTTTGTCCTTTTTTTCTCAAGATTGTTGTGGCTATTTGGGGTCTTTTGTGGTTCCATAGAAATTTGAGTATTTTTTGTTTTATTTCTGTGAAAAAGGCCAGATTTCGATGGGGATTGCACTCACATTATGAAAGGCTCTATACCACCAAATTCAATAGTATTGAAGAAATACACAAATTCTTAGGCATATATAACCTTCATAGACTGAACCATGAAGAATGAACAACCTAAATAAACCAGTCAATGGTAAGGAAAATGAAACAGCAATAAAAAAAAAGTCCATGACCAGGTGGCTTCTCCAGTGAATTCTACCAAACATTCAGAAAAGATTTAATATCTATCCTTCTCACACTCTTCCAAAAAATTGAAGAAGAGGAAGTACTTCCTAACTTATTTTATGAAGCCAGTATTACCCTGATGCCAGAACAGGCAAGGACACACACACACACACACACACACACACACACACACACACAGAAAATTACAGGCTCATATCTCTAAAGAAAATAGATGTAAAAATCCTGAACAAAATATTAGCAAATCAAATACAATAATACATTAAAAATATAACCCATCAATGCTGATACACCACTTTAACAAAATAAAAGGTAAAAATCATACGAGTATATAAATGTACGCAGAAAAAGCATTTGACAAGAACAACATCCATTTATCATTAAAATGTTCAATAAAATGGGTATAGAAGGAAAGTATCTCAACATAGTAAAGGTCATATATGACAAAGCCTCAGCTAGTATACTCAATGGTGAAGAACTGAAAGCTTTTACTCTTTGATCAGGAACAAGACAGGGATGCCTGCACTCACCATTCTTATTCAACATAGTACTGGACGTCGTAGCCAGAGCAGTCAGGCTAGGGAATGAAATATAAAGCATCCAAATTGGGAATGAAAAAGCAAAACTTTCACTATCTGCCTATGACATGATTCTCTATATAGAAAACTTCAAGACACCCAAATGACTATTAGAAACAATAAAAATATAGTAAAGTTGCAGGATATAAAATCAGTGTATAAAAAAGTATTCTCTATTCCTATATGAAATATCAATGAAATATCAGAAAAAGAAGCAAAAGTTTCATTTGTAATTGCAACAAAAATGATAAAATACCTAGGAATGAACTTAAAGAAAGCGAAGGACATATATACTGAGAACTACAAGGCATTGTTGAAAGAAATTGAAGAAGACACAAAGAAATTTTATGTTCATAGATTGGAATAACTAACATTAAAATGGCCACATTACCTAAAACCAATTTTAATAAAACAACATGGGTGTAAAAAGGTGTGTGCATATGCTTGCGAGTGTTCATTTATTTATTTAAAAATAAGGACTATATTTTTTTCAAATACAAATTCTTACTCAAACATCAGAAAATATAGAACACAGAAGCAAAAGAAGAAAGTGAAAGCCTATAATCCCACTACCCAGAGAAAACTTACATTACTATTTTGGTGTATCTATATATAGAGAGAGACATATATAACCCCAATACATATATATACACATGTGTATGTATCTATATATGTAAAATACAGTATATAAATGCATATATACAGTGTGTTTATATATATTATATAGTTTATGTGTTTTCTCTTAAGGAGAGAAGACTAATTGTATTTTATTTTTATTTTAAAGATTTCATTTATTTATTTATTTTTAGAGAAGGGAAGAGAGGGAGAAAGAAACATCAGTCTCTGGTTGCCTCTCGCACACCCTTCTGCTGGGGACCTGTCCCACAACCCAGGCATGTGCCCTAGACTGGGAATCAAACCGGCAACCCTGTGGTTCTCAGGCTGGCATTTGGTCCACTGAGCTATACCAGCCAGGGCCAGACTAACTGTGTTTTAAAGGACTGTTAAATGGTTTATAATGTGCAGTATGTCAAGTAGGAAAATGTTCTTGCTCAACCCTTTTCTTTCCCTTTTTTTTTCATTGTGGTAAAATACACACAATATAAAATTTCTTATCAACCATTTTTAAATGTACAGTTAGTGGTATCATGTGCATTCATACAGTTCTGAGCCCTTCACTCCCACCCATCTCCAGAACCCTTTTTATCTTGCAAAACCTAAGCTGTATGCTATTAAATAACTTCCCTGATCCCCTCCTCCCAGCCCTTGGCAACCATTCTTTCTGTCTATATGATTTTGACTCTACTCCATGTACTTCATTTAAATGGAATCACACAGTATGTATTTTTTGTTACTGAATTATTTCACTTAGCATACTGTCTTCAAGGTTCATTCATAAAACAGCATGAGTGAGGGGTTTCTTCCTTTTTAAGGCTAAATAATATTCACCCAGAACAAATGTAGTACAATCTTATATGGCAGTATAATTTATGTAAGAGTTGAATAGCCATTTAAATACTTGTTGAAGTGGATATTTTGGCTTATTGTCTTCTTTTCTATACTAGCTCTTTATATTTTTCACTTTTCACTCTGATATCTCTGCCTTAATGAAGTGCTTTTAAGAGGGCACATATTATGGCACCTATAGAAAAGCCTTTAAGCTCAGACTATTTGAGGTAATTTGTCAATATTACCATGTTTCATTGTCTCTCCCTTGCCTATGGTTTTTAAGGTATACTGTTATTTCATTACTGTTAAGACAGAAGAAAATAATACCAATCATTAATAAAAGATGCATCCTAATATAATAAATGTTAAAATGTGAGAAGTGTTTACTGTAGAATCTGAAGTATACATGTATGGAAAGGGTGCTCCCATACACCACAACATGTACTTTGTTTTGTAACTTGTATAAAAGACTGGAATCAAGGAAATGATTTGGTTATTTTTTCACGTTGAGAAACTGATCAAAATTTGATTTTAACTTTGTCTTCTGTAGTTCCCTCTACATTGGTTAATAAATGTTTTTAATGCCTACTTTGTATTAGCCATTCTGGTAACAGTAGCTAGCGTTTATCTAGCTTTTATTGTGTGCGAAACACTGTTTTGAGCAGTTTATGTATTTTAATTAACTAAATCTTACATTATTCCTGCAAGGTGGGTATTATTACTATTCCTGTTTTACCAAAGAGGAAACTGAGGCACAGAGAAGTCAAGTGACTTGACCAAGTCATACAGCTAGTAAGTGGTGGAGCTAGGATTTGAATGTATGCGGTCTGACTCCAGGGTCTATGGTGTAAGCAGTATTCCTAGGCACATAGGATGAAAGAGAATACTCTCTTCCCTTAACACAGTGTATCAGGCAATATTTGAGGGTGTGTTGATAAATTTACATGAAATTATTGTTATACTTTTGGTAATGAATTTTTATTTGTGTTTTTAGGACATTCAGTCAGAAGAAGGCTGCTATTGAAAGAGAGTATGCACAGGTAAGCTTGGAAATGCAAGTCCCCGCCCTGGGTGTGCCTGTTCTCTATAAGGTGTAAGGGCATGTGCTTGTTGGAGAGAAGCCTTGCTGTCCCTGCGTTCTCTCTCTTTCTGGCTGTCTCACTTTGATTCCTGTTTTACTCCATTTGAATCTTTAGATGAGGATCTAAGTTGCTTACTACAAAGAAGGTGGTGAACCTTTTGGGAGAAAATTATATTTATAATATTTATAAAGTAATTACAAGTATACATAATGATAATGATGGAGTACATTTACTTATTCTCCATTATATATCCCATTCTCTGCTGTTTTATGAAAGGTTAATTGTTATTTTTGTTCCATCAGGCATTTATTTCTCCTTAAGTCCCTGTTTATAGAGAATGGTGTGCTGTCAGTGTGGCACAGAAAATTTAAACATTTTCTTTTTTTATTTTAATTAGATTAGTATTTGCTCCCAGATAGTTAAATATGAAAAGAAAAAATTACATTTATATATCATTTTATGGGTATATAAGAATTAATAACTTACCCTTTCTTATACAAAAATAGTTTAACATAATTTGGAAATTTTGGCCATTGTAAGCAATTACTTTCCATGTGGAGTAGAATTCTAAAATTGATTACTTCTCAAAAAAAATTGACCCCTTCTCTAAAAAAATTATAAAAGTAGTGTTTATAACAAAATTTAAAAATGCACGGGAATGTTAGAAGGAAAAATTAACACCCAGGAAATGCTGTACATGGTAACCACTATTTCTACTGCTGCTATTAATATTTCCTATAAATGATAAAATTGGGATATGATTTTTTTCTGCACCTTGTCAAGTTTTGATTTTAATTCTATTCTAATTTCATTGTAGTTAACCAAGTAGCTGTCTGTCTGCGTTTCATTTGATAGTTTTGGGAGAGAATTATCTGTTTCTTGAAAACTAGATAGACTAATTAATTTAGTCATTAGTTTTTGAGTGCTTACTTTATACCAGGGGCTTTATATGATGAATAGCATCAGTTCTAATATATTAGTGTTAAACCTGTGTACTAGTACTGAGAGCTAACATCTATTGAATCCTCACATTATACCCAGCACTTTGTTGATTATTTTACATACATTATCTCATTTAAACCTGTGAAATCGGGAATAATTATTATGACTTTTACAAATCTGTTTCCATAGAGATACAGGTATATAATCTTTTAAAGTTGAAAATATTTATATGATATATTCCTTGTAGCATGACTTAAAGTTTTAATAATTAAGTAGGTAGGACAAATTAATCATTAAAATTACAGAATAGTACATTGAATTGTATGAAAAGTAGCAGCCATCTGCCCAGTCTTCTTCCTCAAGGAAAAGGTTAAAAGTGATGCCTGTTTTTGTTCTCCTGGTGATCATTTCCATGTCTTTAAAATAATGTGCAACTGATTCTTGATTAATCAACTCTAAACATTGCTTGATTACCTCTAATAATAAATGAAAAATTAGCTTCCTAAGTCATTTCTTTTCATCCTCTTCTTTCCAGTATAATTCGGTACTATTTTAGTGCCTTTGTTACTTTTCTAACTATAAATGCTAAAGTTAGACTTTTGTTAAATACAGGTATATATTTATATATGTATGGATATATGTATTTCTGTGTTATATGCACCCAATAAAATGGAATTACTATTTATAGAGCAGTCAAATTTACTCTAAAAATTTCTTTAAATGTCCATAAAGTAGATTATTCCTAGTTTTGTTTATTCAATTTTATGTAATAACGAACCGTATTTTGCCATGCATGATATGTATGATACTTTTTTGCCCCAAGTTTTGAGGGAAAAATAAGGATGCACATTATACATGGGTAGTACTAATTCTGTACCTATGTAAATGTTTTTAATTCTTTTATTTATGCATATGCATATATATCTAGAAAGCAATAATGATATCCATATACAAAATAATACCCTGAAATATGATCATTGGTTTTGTTTCTAAATATAAATAAATAAAAAATTGAATTAAAATTAAAACAAAAGATTTTTTTCCTGAAAGTTTGGGCCAAAAACGTGGGTGCGTGCACATTCTACATGGTAGTGTATTATACAGGGCAAAATATGGTATGTAAACTGTGCATAGTACCTAATGATGCATATTTCAAAATTTCATAGAATAATCATATTCAGAAATTAAAATGTCCTAGTGTCTGTCTGCTTGGGGCAGTAGAACACACTGATGGAGAGCCAGTTTGCTGACTCTTGTTACTTGTCATTTTTGCCTTTTAGATGATTTTTCTCAGTTCTTCTTACTCTTCATTGTTTTCACAATTAATTTTTCAGTTTATTTCTTGAGGATATAGAAAATCCTATCTGTGCTCTCTTTTCTGGTTGGCAAGACTGTTTTTACTTCTTGCAAGTAGTAGAGACACCCCTAAAATAATTGATACATCCTTTCAATGGATTGTGCCTGTGTGCGCTGGTTATGCCGGGCTGGTTATTTTGCATTCCCAATCTGGAGACACACCCTTTCTGGCGACGGGTTGTGCTTAGAGAGGACACGTGCACCATTTAAGTTGGCTCTTTTTCTACTCTGGCTCAGTATTGAGTTGAAAATTTTAAAATTGAAATAATAATAACAACATATATAACGAGATATACAAATCTTGAGTAAACTGTTTGAATTTTTATGAAGCAGAGTCAAGTAACCACTACCCAGATTACGATATAGAACATTACCCTGGATCCCAGAAACAGTCATTATTCATACCTTCCAGTGGTAACCAGTATGCTGACTTTTATCAGAATTGTTGTGGTTTCTGACTGTTTTTGAGTTTAAATGGAATGGTATCATGTAGTATGTATTCTTCTGCATCTGATTTCTTTCATCCAGCATTGTGGTTTTGAGCTTCACGCATGTTGTCGCATGTAGGAGTAGTTCATTCTTTTTTATTACTATATATTATCCACTGAATGACTATATCACAGTTTGTTTTTCCAATGTACTGATGATTAAAATTTGAGTTGTTCCAGTTGTGGATGATTTTGACTAATGCTTCTAAGCAAAAGTTTCGTAACATGTCTTTTGATGGACATATGGATATATTTCTGTTAGGTATTCACCTAGAAAAACTGCTGGGACATTGAGTATATGAATCTTTGTTCCACTTTAGTTGATACAGCCTGTTTTCCAAAATGGTTATATTGGTTTACACTCTCAACAGCAATGTATGAGAGTTCCAGTTACTCCATCTTTTTAGAGAACACTCGGTATTCTCTAAAATTAAAAAGAATGACATTTTGATGAGTGTGTAGTTGTAGCTCACTTTCTTTTAAATAAGCTTTAAAAAATTGACATAGAGAATGCCTACAGAAAAGTGTGCAGATCCTAAGTGTACAGCTCCATGAGTTTTCAAAGTGAACACACCCATATAACAAGTACCCAGGTCAAGAGACGGAACATTACCACTGCCCCAGAAATCCCTCCTGTTCCCCAGTCTTTTGTGCCCTCACCCTCACACAGGTATCCACTGTACTGACCTTTTATAAACAAACAGTCTTATTGAGATATATTTGATATATAGTAAACCGAACAGCTTGCAATTTGGTAAGTTTTGACATGTGTATACCTGTGAAGCTACCATCACAATTAAGGTAATAAACATCTCTATAACTTCCAAAAGTTTCCTCATGTGCTATTTATAATCCCTTCCTTCCACTCACCCCTCCTTGAGTCCTCTTTCCCCATCGTCCCCAGATAACCACTCATCTGCTGTCATCATTACAGATCAGTTTTCATTTTTTAGAATTTAATTCAATGCTGTGCAACTGAAATCATGCTGTATGTACTCTGTCTTGTTTGGCTTCTTCCATGCAGCATAATTCATTTCCAAATTATGTTGCTGTGTACTGTGTATAGCTTATTTCTTTTTATTGCCAAGTAGTATTCCATTATATGGATATAGCACAACTTACTTATTCACTGGTTGATGGACATTTGAGTTGTGTCTATTTTTTGGTTATTATAAGTAAAGCTGCTGTGAATAGCTGTGTGTGGACAACTGATTCATTTCTCTTGAGTAAATACATAAGGGTAGACTGCATGGTTCATTTTTAACTTCCTAAGCAACTTCCAAACTTTTTTCCAAAGAGGTTGTACCATTTTACATTCCCACAGCAGTGTATAACTGAGAGCACCAGTTGCTCTATATCCTCCCCAAGACTGGATATAGTCTTTCTTTTCAATTTTAGACATTGTAGTAGATTCATGGTGGTATTCATTGTGGTTTTAATATGTCTTTATCCAAAAAACTAGTGATGTAAAGCACCATTTTCATGTGCTTATTTACTATCCATCCATATTCTTTCTTGAAGTGGTTTGCTTTCTTATTTTTTTAAACCTTTTTATTGTGAAAAAGTTTCAAGCCTCTGTGAAAGTAGAAGGAATTAGAACAATGAATTCCTGTTAGCCATTACCCAGCTTCAACTGTTGCTAATATATTACAAAACTTGTTTCATTTATAGCTCCCTACTGGCTGTTCCTTGCTGATTACAAAAAAAAAAATGTTTTGTGAGGCATAATATGCATATCATTAAAAATTTATACATTTTTATGTATAATTAAATGATTTTTAGTAAATTTTATAGAGAGATGTGGCCATCAGCACAATTCAGTCAGAGAACATGTCCATCAACCCAATGCATTTCTTGTACATGTTTGCAGCCAATCTTTGTTGCCTGAGGCAGCCATCAGCAGAATAACTGTATACATTTTTCTGGACATTTCCTAAAAATGTACTCATGGTATGTAGTCTTGTCTGGCTTCTTTCACTTAGCAAATGTGTTTGAAGTTCATACGTGTGTTGTCATGTACCAGTAATTTATTCCTTTTTTGGTGAGGAGTATTTCATGGTACGGATACATATTACATTTCGTTTACGCACTAATTGATGGATATTTGAATTGTTTCCAATTTTAGCTATTATGTATAATGCTGCTGTAGACACTCACATATTAGTCTTTCTT